CTAAAACAATTATGCAGCCTCTAAAACTAGCTAGATATGGAGATGATGCAATTAAATTGCCCTACTAAAACCTGATTAAAAAAGCTTCCACTGGCCTCATTCTCATTTCAGCCAACATACATCAAGGATCTATTCTATTCTTAGGAAGACTAGAAAACACAAAGAAACACAATGGTCTCTGCTTGACCTTGAGAAGCAATACTGCCTAAGGGGAAAACACAGAGCAAAAAGAAAGGAGACGGTGTGTAGAGATCTGGCTTTGCCACTGAATGTCACAAGACTGTAAACCCTAGTTTTTTCAGTGGTAAAATGGGCTCAATATTGTACCAGCTGTCCTATAGCAGTTTGAAAATAAACTATGATAAAAGAAAAAATACTTTGAAACTTTAAAAAATCATCGTATCTAAGACTGAACAATAAATCTCACTATTCATGAAACAACTACAGAACAGGAGAAAACAGAGAAGCATAATATGTATCTGAATGTAAATGCAGAATTTCTCAAAGTTAGTTCAACAGAACTATAGTTCTGCAAGATGTTTATAGATGTTCCTCAAGAAGAGTCCCATGGCCAAGTTGAAAGGTGGAAGCTGCAGCACCCAGAGATGAGACCAGGAGGGAGCGGAGAAGTTTAGGTCAGGCAAAGATGGCATCTGCACCCAGGGGTAGGTAGAGACCCCTTTTATACGGCTGTAGGGAGTAGGCAAATTCCACGACTTGCCCGGAGGGCTTTGGTGAGTTAGGGTCCTTGGGCACAAGTTTCAGGGGTGGGGCTAACTAGGTCCTTTAGGTCCTTGGTCTTAGGAGGAGGGAGGTTTGTGAAGGGGTACATTAGGCCCCCCCAACAGAAGTAAAGGTTGGAAGTAGGGCTTAAATAATTTTTCTATTATTAGTACTACCATTAACAGTAGCTAACATTTAGTAAGTGTCAGTCACAGTGCTATGCCTTTTATGCATCATCTCATTTAACTTCACAACCTTGTAAGATAGATACTATTATGATCTCTACTATATAGAGGGGGAAACTGAGGCATAGGATATTATATAACTTGTCCAAGGTCACACAGCTAGTTAGTGGCAGAGGCAAGACTGACTCAGAGCTCCTACACTTTTTTTTTTTTTTTTTGAGACAGAGCCTCAAGCTGTCCCCCTGGGTAGAGTGCCGTGGCATTACAGCTCACAGCAACCTCCAACTCCTGGGCTCAAGCGAGTCTCCTGCCTCAGCCTCCCAAGTAGCTGGGACCACAGGTGCCCGCCACAACACCCGGCTATTTTTTGGTTGCAGCCATTATTGTTGTTTGGCGTGTCCGGGCTGGGGATTCGAACCCACCACCTTAGGTGTACGTGGCTGGCGCCTTAGCTGGTTGAGCTATAGGCGCCGAGCCAGAGAGAGCTCCTACACTTAAACACAACATACGCTGTTCTTTACTTTCTTGAAGTTTTTGAAATTCACTGTGAATCTCTGAATGGGAATCAGAACACATGTCTTTCCTGAATTTATTCTTTATTTTTTTGAGCAACTTGCAGAACTCTGGAAAATGATAAAATCCATTCATTACCTCTTCCTAAACTTGTCTTCTTTCTAGGGGTGGGCTATATGTCAGTCTAAGGTATTTCTCCTATGATCCATTTAGCCCAAATCAGTAATCCAAGAAATATTAACTTAAAATTATTTGGCTAGATCACTATCATAACACAGAGAACAGCTCAGCAGGGAACAACCCACAGAATCTACATTACCATTTGGTTTGTATGTCTGGGGCCAGAATTTCATACTGCTTAATTGTAGAGAACATCTAGACTTAAAGGATAAAAATGTATCAACTATTAAACAATACACATTACAGCTACAACGATATATCCCTTGAAATTCATAATGTCCCATCAAGTAGAGTGAATAAGACTGAACTATTAAACTTATGCTTTTACTTATTAGCTTTATTACATTTAATAAGAAAAAAATTAAATAGGCCCATCAGGCAGTTTTGTTACCAATGAGTAGATTTTCCAATATTTTCTTCATCTAGTTTATGTAGCATAGCCTATACCACAATTTTTATCAACACCATTAAGGTGAACTTAGTGTAGGAGAAACTCAATCACAACACATCAAACACTTGGTTTTATAGAGACTTTAATAAAGTAGATTCTCATTTCTTGATGACTGCACCATTTCTTTGTGCTGAACTAAAAGCCAAAGATAAAAGAACAAGTCGAAGCCTAGAGATCAACGTAGTTATGCAATTTGGTATCTTCATGTTCTCTCCTCTTAAGAATCAATACGATAAATGGAATTTTTTTATAAGAGATCTACTATATAAAGTAGTAAAATTATCATGATACTGCCATTTACCCTCCACAAGCAACCACTGTTAAAAATGTATCAAATCTTACAACACTGATGCTGAATATTAGCAATAGTAGCCAATGAACTCTTAGGATAAGTTGCTATGGTCACCATAGTGTTCTAGAAAAATTAAAAGAATTTGTACTAAGGACATCTGGGAGAATGGTCCCTAATGAAGTATGGTCCCTAATGAAAAGAGAAGTTCTAGCCATGCTTCTTAGCTAAAAACAATAATAATAGGGTAAATAGAGAGCTATTATTTGATGGGAACACAGTTTCAGTTGCAAGATGAAGAGGGCTGCAGATGGATGGTATTGATAGCTGTATAACAATTTGAATGTACTTAATGCTACTGAACTGTACACCTAAAATGGTTAAAACAAGGCTCGGCACCCATAGCACAGTGGTTACAGCGCCATTTACATACACCACGGCTGGCGGGTTTGAACCTGCCCCAGGCCACCTAAACAACAATGACAACTACAACAGAAAAATAGCTGGGCATTGTGGCGGGCTCCTATAGTCCCAGCTACTTGGGAGGCTCAGACAAGAGAATCACTTAAGCCCAGAAGTTTGAGGCTGCTGGAGCTGTGATGCCACAGCACTCTACCCAGGGTGACATAATGAGACTCTGTCTCAAAAAAATAGCTAAAACAGTAAATTCTGTCATACATATTTCATCATCATAAAAAATAATTTAAAAACATTAACATAATTTCATATTGTAATCTTTCCTTGAGGGTTGGACATGTTATTTCCAGTTTCTTGCATACCCCTCCCCCCTTCAAATAAATCTATGTTTTAAGATAAAGCATTTAAAGTTTTAGGATATTTTCTAATAAAATTTTGCTGGGGTTTGGTGTTCTTATGTTTCTTCTGCTCTAGAGCAAATATTGACAGTAAATTCACAATAGTTCTTCAATTAAGAGATACAAAGCTATACATTTGGCGACGTAACACAGATAGGTAGGTTAGAAGTGTAAAGAAATGTTTTTGGATTTCATTTGAAGCCAATAAAAGAAAGCCAGAGAGTTGCTAAAAACTTTTCTGTTTTATTGTATTTGGCAATGAGCATAAAAGCACTAAGAAAAAAGACTAAGGTTTTAAACTGCTCCTTGCACAGAACTCAAGAGAAGCAAATCGGAGTATGTTCTTTCTCTTTCTTCTTCTTTCCCTTCTATAGGTACCTGAACTCAAGCCTTCAGAACAGAATAAAAATTCAAAGCAGATAAGAGTAAGGAAGAGAAGGCTAAGATGAAGATATGCCACACAGGCAGTACTGGAGGTCCATAGGGAGGACTGTAAGAATGACTCAGGGAAGGATACTAGCAGTCTTAAAACTCATCAGACACATTAGGGCTCAGACATTTTAAGATCAAGGCCCAAAGATCACTCAAGAAACACATGATTATTTCTCTGAATTATCACAGCAGAACAACTATTCATAATATGCATCACACACAGGAAAAATAATCCAAATATGTGAATATTAGTTCTCAGAGGACTATACTGATGAGAAAGGACTCACATCCTGGCTGTATTTGTAGAGGATTGAGGCCATGGACAGGTAACTGGATCAGATGACTTCAAAGTAGCTTCTAACGCTGAGAAATCAAAGCCTATGCCAAGACTGCATAGATGTGGAGGTGGGAGGTGTTCTAGGATTTAGGATGTGATTCCTCATGGTCTCAGAACAATAGGGCAATTTTTATTGTACACCTGGCCAATCACAACTCAAATTTCTAAGACTAGGAGTAACCAATTAGAAAATAAATTAATTATTTTATAATTCTGAAAATACACAGTATTTTCAATATCAACATTAAAATATCCAAGGTAAAAACACAATCATAATGCGATGCAGGGTTAGTGTGTGTATGGAAAATAGCTCTCTGGAGGAAAGCCTTATTCCTCCCTCAGGGCTTTCTTACACAGTATAGATTTTTTTAATTCCTAGTGGAATATTTTTCATACACCATTGCAGACTATTAAGTACCAGATATTATATTATGTGGTTTAAACTTTGCACTACTGCATGAGAAAGACTTCCCTGTAGAGAGAACTATTTTTTTACGGCTAGCATTTTTTAATATGAAAATGAACACTCCTTTAGGGTAAGATCACTGCAACTAGAATTTGGGAGAATTTTATAACTTAACATATTCATCAAAGTGTAGAAATTCTCTCAGGGGACTAGGGTGAGGAGAGAAGGAAATACAACAGGAAGAAGGCTTTTTAATAACTTACACTGTCGACACAGGGCAAAGCAATGGTATTTATAAGGTCTAGCTTCCACTGGGCAAAACTATAAACAGGCAGGGGACTAAAATAGGGTGGTAGCAAATTAAAAAAAATAGTGTTAAACGGCAAAGGGAAAAATGCATTAATGGCAGGCCAGTTAAAGGTACATTTGCTAATGGTGAACTATTAACTACACACCCAGGAGAGATGCAGACTCAGAAATATGAAAAAGGCAATATAAATGCACTTTTCAGACAATTCTGAGAAAATAGATGCCTTGCAGAATTTTAGAGTCAATGTGGAAATCAAATCTAAGCACTGGTGGTCATTTAAAAATCTTTGTCATGGAGAACTTGGGTACTCAGTATTTGGCAAAAGTGGATAGAAAGTTTAAACAAAATTGACTACTCACTTGTAGACTGTGCCTCCGTTGCCATGACCAAGGGTGTCTCGATACCGTATGTCTTGTTCATTCATCTCCACAAGAAAGAAAGAAAAACAAAAAGGGTGTCATGCTGTGGATGGAAATGTCAAGGAAAAGCAACTCTGGGCCATAAACAACATGCAGTCTGGGTCATTTCAAGTTCAGCTGCAAGAACGAGAAGATCAATACAACATTTGCTGTCCAATTTATAAAAGACGATACCAAGGGACAAAGTGATGGAAAGTTTAATGACAATTTGTTTGCCTGGGTCATTTCATTAAAGTTTGATAAAAGGTGTCAAAACGGAATGATATAACATAGCTCAAAAGGGTCAGGTCAGAGATACTGATAAGAAAACAATCTCCAGTACTGCATATAACCAATGCCAAATAGCACTGCAATAACCAAAGTCAAACTTAGGAAGGCAACACTCACACACAGACACACACCCAGTAATCTAATGCATAATCTGCAAGTAAATCGGCCCCTGAAAACTCAAGTGACCTGATAATTAACATTTCACAAACTAAATAATGTTTATAATCTTCCTATAGTAGATACAGTGTTTCTTTGCAAATGATAAGCTATTATATACCAATAACTGGGCAGAAATATGCTGACAGAAAAGTGTGAAATCAATGCACCTTAAAATGCCCACATAATCAAATATTATAATGCACACAGGGAAAACATATAGACGTGTTATTTTCACAAAACAAAGTCATTTTTATAACATATAAAATACAAGATACATTTTCCAAGGTTCTATAAAAACCTATCATAGCTCAAATACTACTCTCATTTGTGTCATGAACAGTAAGGTGACTCAGATTAGTGCTCAGAAAACAATGTTTCACTTTTTAGAAAACTCCCTAAATAATTATGTATCAAATGAGTAGTCAGACTTTAATTGATGCATTCAGTAATTTTCTACACACTGATATAGTTGTTTAAAAATTAACTGCCAACTTTATTCACTAAGTGGATTTAATAAAGGTGTTATTTTCCATATAGCTAAAGCTTGGGAAAAGCCACAGTAAGCCCTGAAAAAAAATCAATTTCCAGGGAATTGCACTGCCTTGCATGCATAGAAAATGGATGGAGTTTTTAATTCAATATCACTTGGAAAAAAAACAGCTTGCTCTCAGACCATTATAGTAAAGCTTTAAATATTTTGCTCTACTCTAAACTTCTACCAATTGAGTAAAGCACGGCTTCATTTATCAAGGGAAATATTTTTCTTCTATATATTTCCAAAGTTGAAGCTTCAGAGAGCTATGATAATTAGGAGTACAGCGCAGGTACAGAAACAGCTTCCTTTCTGAGCTGTTTTGCCAAACCCTAAAAGAATACTGGCAGATTAATGTGTAAAGGCCAATCCAGGCACCAAATTTAACTACAATCAGATTGATGCAATTTATAATCTGTTAATTACTATTTTAGGGTCAATGAAGAAATAACAGACAAGACAGATTGGAAACTATTTTCCTATTGTGGGGGGAAGTCTGTCCTTTACTACTTTTGCAAATATTTTAAAAGATGTGGCGGGTGGTGTCTGTGACTCAAAGGAGTAGGGCGCCGGTCCCATATGCTGGACAGGGCAGGTTCAAACCTAGCCCTGGCCAAAAAAAAAAAAAAGATGTGGCATTGGCTCAGCACCTGTAGCCCTGTGGTTACAGCGCCAGCCACATACACAGAGGGTGGTGGGTTCGAACCTGGTCCAGGCCAGCTAGACAACAATGACAGCTGCAACAAAAAATAGCCAGGCATTGTGGCGGGCGCCTGTAGTCTCAGCTACTTGGAAGGCTGAGGCAAGAGAATCACTTAAGCCCAAGAGTTTGAGGTTGCTGTGAGCTGTGACGCCACAGCAATCTACTGAGGGCGACAGCTTGAGATTCTGTCTCAAAAAAAAAAGATGTGGCATGAAGAAAAGAAAACCTCATTATTCTGGAATGAATAATAAATACTAAAGCAGCATAAGGAAAAGCAGCACAAAAAGTAACCTGCGATGCTATATACTAGCAGAGTCGCTATTTGGTTTACTTTGATCAACGAAGGATATGTATGTAAATAGCAGTACCAAACAGTGCCTACAAACAGCCTACTGGGCTGATTTCTTGAGAACATTTCTCTAGGTGAGTATATCTCTAACAACCTAATCTGTAACATTAATTTACCTACTCAGCTGTGCTCTTACCATGGCTTGCAGTATATTTCTAGGAGAGAGATTATTTCACTCATTCAAGTATAGAAATCCTGAATTAGGGGCCCTGAAATTTAAGGGTAAGCAGGATGTCGCTCTATTTAATAGTATATAGAGTCAAGGCAACACAGTATACGGTCCTATTCTCTCCACCACAGGCAACAGTGTGGGTATGGAACATCTCTGAGTACATTCAATCATTACAATCCTGACAGTACAGTCTTTTTATCACTAATACCCACTAGAGTGAAAAGAGAAGTGAAGTAGTTCTCCAATCTGCATTCCCAGCACTCCAACCTAACAAGGAGCATAGGGAATAGGCTGAGAGCCCAGGAGAGGGTGCAAGGCGAGGAGAAGGGCAGAGGGTTTGTTGCAAGTGTACATGCATGTGCACTAAGCACTATGTAAGCAGATTCAAGGACAGAAAAAAATCTAGACAGATATATAGACTCCTTCAGATAATGCAGAAGATTGCAAAATTTGCATAACGATGGTTTTGAAGAGAACCAGGTCACTCAAAAAGACAGGATCCAGGGCTGGGCACAGTGGCTCATGCTTGTAATCCCAGCAATTTGAGAGGTAAAGGTGGGAGGACTGCTTAAGGCTAGGAGTTTAAGACCAGATACAGCAAGAATCAGTCTCTAATTAATTAATTAATAATTTTAAAAGACAGTAGCCATACACAAATGATTGAAGTGTTGGTTTCTACAATGTTTTAAAGTTATACAGACTTTTGTCTGACCTCTGAACTGATTGATGATTTTTTATTTGAATTTTCTTTTTTTGATATTTATTTGAATTCTATAATTCTTTTTTATTTGAATTTTCTAATTTTTATATAGTATACAAATATTATTCACATAAAAACATTTTAAAAAGGAAAACTAGTAGAGAAAATTACTGTACTCAAGAAATGATTATGAAAAAAGTGAAAATTTCATCTCTCTGATCAAAATGGGTTAATTCAATCAATCTATGAAAAAAATCATTAAAGGAATCACAAATATCCAGTAACATTTTTGCCTTTATTAATTCAACTTTTCCAAATGAAGGTTTAAAGTGAATGAAGTGTAATTAAGTGCTCATTACATAAGAAAATGGGTTTTATAAGCCTTCAGAGTACTGCAATATTATACTTAGGATCAAGTATCATAAAAACCACAGAATTTTATAGCATTTTCGGCCATTTAGCTAAATTCATTTAGGTGACATAACTATTCAGTAACACCTAGTCAAGGTTAGAATTCAGTCTTTCGGTAAACTCCAGCTCAGTATTATAAATCAGCAGAGTGTCTCCGGTGGAAGTTTAGAGGAAGATGCCTCTATTGATGGCCACTGACTCAGAAAAATAAAATATCAACTGAATGGCTCTCACAAGTTAAAAGCAATTTCATTAGCTATGATGTTTGTTTTAAAGAAGAAAAATGTTTTAAAAATCACATAGCCAGGCTCAGCACCTGTGGCTCAAGTGGCTAAGGCGCCAGCCACATACACCTAAGGTGGCAGGTTTGAATCCAGCCTGGGCCCGCGAAACAACAATGATGGTTGCAACGGGAAAAAAAAAAAAAAAAGAAAAAGGGTAAAGTTAAGTTTTTCATTCAGCAATACCAAATAGTCAGGCAGCACCTGTACTCAGTGGATAGGGCACCAGACATATACACTTGGGCTGTTGGGTTCCAATCCGCCCAGGGCTAGCTAAACAACAATGACAACTGCAACAAAAAAAATAGCTGGGCATTGTGGTGGGTGCCTGTAGTTGCAGCTACTTGGGAGGCTGAGGCAAGAGAATCACTTTAGCCCAAGAGTTGGAGGTTACTGTGAGCTGTGATGCCACAGCACTCTACCCAGGGCAACACAGTGAGACTATCTCAAAAAAAAAAAAAGTTTTAAAACATAGTTCAGTTTCCTTGTTTTGACTATTAAATTTTTTTTTTGAGACAGAGTCTCACTATGTCCCCCTGGGTAGAGTGCCGTGGCATTACAACTCACAGTAACCTCAAACTCTTAGGCTTAAGCGATTCTCTTGCCTCAGCCTCCCAAGTAGCTGCAACTACAGGTACCGTATTTTTTGGTTGCAGTTGCTATTGTTCAGCTGACCTGGGCTGGGTTCAAACCCGCCAGCCTTGGTGCATGTGGCTAGCACCCTACCCAATGAGCCACGAGCACCACCCTATTAAAAAAAATTAAAGCAAATAAAAGGCAGAGTAATAGACATGAGAGAGGGAGAAGAAAAAGCCACAAATGGTTACAGTGCCAGCCACATGCACCAAGGCTGGCAGGTTCAAACCCAGCCTGGGCCAGTAAACAACAATGACAACTGCAACAACAACAACAAAATAGTCAGGTGTTGTGGCAGGTGCCTATAGTCCCAGCTACCTGGGAGGCTGAGGCAAGAGAATCACTTAAGCCCAAGAGTTTGAGGTTGCTGTGAGCTGTGACACCACAGCACTCTACTGAGAGTGATATAGTGAGACTCTGTCTCAAAAAAAAAAAAAAAAAGTTACAATTACATGTCAACTGCCAAGATAGCAAATGACCTCGGAGAAATGACTGGCACAGGGCTCTGCTCCTGCTGCAGGAAAGGCAGGGCCCACAAAAGAACAGAGACAAAAACCACCCCTGGGCAACCAGGCAGTGTGTATGCAGTAAGAGGGGGGTGTCAGGCCTTACATGCATACTCTCACTTATGTTTCAGTTTTCATAGGGGGTCCACGACGAACTGTAAGAGTCTGGAGTTTTATAGCTAGTGATAATAGTTTTTAAATCTACAACAGATACCTATTTCTCCCAACCCTTCTTTTCTCTAAACACAAAAGTTGTTCAAAAGCTATTTGAAGTTCTCCAAATAATAGCCAAGGATTCAGCTGGACTAGAATTAGTTCTAGATCTGTAACTTCTCAATACATTTATGAGTACATCTTGACTCATTAGGAATAGGAAAATACTGTCACCTTCTCATACAAAATCTAAAAACCAAAAAGAAAGAAAACAACCTTACATCTCCTTAGAGCAGCAGTTCTCAACCTGAAAATACATCCTGTATATCAGATATTTACAGTACGATTCATAACAGCAGCAAAATTACAGTTATGAAGTAGCAACAAAAATAATTTTATGGTTGGGGTCACCACAACATGATGAACTGTACTAAAGGGTCACGGCATTAGGAAGTTGAGAACCATTGCCTTAGAGGAACTGTGTACTTTTAAAATCCCTTAAATTGATCATTTGGGCTGCTTCTAATCAGTTTCAAATCAAGGGCCAAGGTTAAACAGATGATGCCGTACTAGAACCGAAGTAGGAAAAACAGCCAGAAAATACATCAGTGCAATGGATTTATAGTTCCAATAAAACATGCCAAAGATACCTTATGATTTATTTTTTAACCTGGAAAAAATGAAATACTCCATCATAGAGTGATAACAGAAAAACAGTATCTCCATTCCATAGACTAAATGTTAAACTTTTAAAAAGTGCAAGATTTAGTATTTTAATGAAATTAATGGGAAAATGAAATGGAATTCAATTATAGATCAGTAAAGAAAATATTCTTTTGTTTATTGTCTGTTAAGAAGAATCAGTACCTATTGCTTATAAATCATTAAAATAAAAATGCTCAATTAATCCTTATTTTATATGTAAAGGTCTGACAGAAACTAGTCCTATCACTAAACCTTTGCTTCACAAATCGAAGCAATAATGGTTTCAGAAAGCAGTCACACTCTATGAGCAGACAATTGAAGAGATTTAGTAAATCCCACTTTATAGAGCAGAGACTAATCGGAAAACACAAGCCAGTCAAATGTTTCTTATGAACTGTTGACACCATATCAATGCTGAATCAATTGGTGGCATTTACTCTGAGTGACAGAAAAGAAATAAATATTTATATCACATAACCTATATCAATGAACCCAGGCAGAAAGCTATTTCTAACCTGTCAATATTTGATTATCTTGAAGAATCATGTTCCTTTCTTTTAATGATTAATATGAATTCCTTATTACATCTAAGTGGAGGCTAGTTGAAAGGCAAATCATTATAATGTTTTGATAAACCACTGAAATAAAAAACTATGCTCAAGTGTTAAAGTATCGTTAAATGTGACTTACATCTTCCCTATCAAGTGGTGTCAACGTTCAGACCAGAAATTTACTGTTGCCCACACTGAGCACATGACCTCACTGCAACGCAATCTCACTCACTGTTCAGTTACCCTGTAACACCAAGGAATTAAGGAATTAGGAGGAGGTATTTTGAAAGTTTCCAAAGGTGGGCTTTTTTGTTTTTTTCACTGAAATCAAACATAAGAAAGGCTAATTCTTAAAGAAAATGTCATACTGTTTAATGTGGGGTTATTACATTCCCAAAAGAAAGCAATAAACAATCTTTAGGTATCAAAAATCATTGCCATGACAATCTCCCACCATAGATAACCTAATAACTAAGCCCACTAAAATATTTATGGTACTAGGTTTGTTGTCAAAATATTAGGAACATTCCAAAATGCTTTTCTTTTGCAGTAGCAATAAACTGGTTTTTTCTTTTCATTTCCTTTTTTTTGAGACAAGGTCTCGCTCTGTTGCCTGGGCTAGAGTATAGTAGCATCATCATAGCTCCCTGCAATCTTAAACTCCTGGGCTGATCCTCCTGCTGCAGCCTTACAAGTAGCTGGTACTAATGGCATGTGCCACAACACCTGGTTAATTTTTTATTTTTATTTTTTTATTTTTTGAAGAGACAGAGTCTCACTATGTTACTCAGGCTGGTCTCAAACTCCCAGCCTCAAACAACCCCATCCATATGCACCCTCAAAGTGCTAGGATTACAGGCATGAGCCACTGCACCCAGCCTTGTGTTTCATTTTTGAAAGAGGAACCTATGACAGGTTATTTTCCATTGCCTGAGTTGAACAAATGTAGTTAAAGCTTCTTAATTTATGTCAATTTTGAAATATATTTTCCAGCTGAAGAACACAAGTGCTTTGTACATAAATTACAATTAGTAACTAGAATGCAAGCAGGTTGAAGATACATAAATATCCTGGGCTCAATATTTCTGCATTTAGTCAGATTCTATATATACTGGTTCTGAACACATAGAGGGTACGAGGGTGATACAAATGTGGACCTCAAGGTAAACAAATCTTTCACTGCTTAAAGTTAAAAGTATTAGATAAATACTACATTAAATTTTGAGACTACCAAGATTATACACATAACACCAGATTCTCCTTAACAGTATATAGAATATTTAAGGGCTAGAATTCACTCTGGGTGATGATCAGACATCAGAACCAGATCAACTTAATTTTTTCTAACTGTATTCAAGGAAGTACGTGCTAAACAAGCAAGAAGCAACCAGAAGCACTACCATACATTTTAAGGCATATGCATCTATTAGGCCACAATGTTACAGGTGATATTAAAGGACAGGCATGAGGACCTGGCTTTGTCTTCTTGACATGCTCGACTACAAGTACTTGATTCATGAAATGCCAATGAGGCTTGGAGAGGTCAGCGTGTGAAGGCACTGAATAAGCATCTGAGATAATTAAGATTTCAGCCTTCGAAACATGGACGGGAAGTGAACAGCAGTTAAGAAAATCAATAAGAGTCTTTTATTTGCAGTGACACAGATGTCTCAGTCAATAGAGCCTAATAGGCAGGCTTGATCGCAATGGACAGGCGCCTGCCTCCAAGGCTATCAAAGGGCTTCCACTATAACAAACATTAAAACGCATTTATGTTGCTATTGAAGAATCGAGGACCCTGTAGGTAGCTTAATTTACCAGTGTATGTTTAAAAGCACTATACTATCTCAGAGTGTCCATTTACTTGAATCAAAATTTGTGAGAAATAACTGGCCTGCAGGCCCGTTTGTCCCTCACTGACGGGGTTAGGTCATTCTGCTTTAGATGCCCAGTCGAGTAGGCAAACCAATGTCTCTTGAACGCCAGGAATTTTAAATGCCAAAGGTCTGCTGTCACTCTGTTCTCCTAAAAAGCCAGTGTTAAGTTTCAGGACAAAAGAAGGAGCTAAGGTAATAAAGTAACAGTTTTTCCTTTTCTCCCCAAAGATAATGAAAGAAACCGTCACCCCAGAATGCAGGGCCTTTTCAACAACCCATGGGTTGACATACTTGTTCAGAACTGATTAACTTTTTTTCAACTGAGATGGCAGCAGGGTGTGTGCACGGTACTTCAATCTGCTGGGAGTGAAAGCCATTAGCACAGTTTAAAAAACGTGCTGCAAATTGTTCTGCCAATCAAATTAAGCCATGTTACTCATTTATGACAAGAAAAAATGCACATACTCTTTAACTGCTTAAGTTTTTGAATACAAACACCAGCCAGTAATAAGTTACTATCATGCAAAAATACTAAAATGTAATGATACCTACCTGGCCATTGGCTAATATTTTTTTCAATTCAGCAGAAGATTTCTTTAGACTGAAAAGGAAAAGACAATTTTTAATGGCAAGATCAACACCTTTGAATACCAATCAAAAGTCCAGATGAAAATACACTTCTGCTTTTAAGTATGGCACTGACTACACTCTTTACATCCTTTTCCCTGTATAAAATTTTTTCTAAAAGAAACTGGCCAAATTCCAAAGATACCAATGAAGAGACTAAACTCCATTAGTAATCTAAAGCTATAAAGAGTCCTATAGTCAAAATGAAGCTACAATATTTTATGGACTACATTAGTGACTTTTTTTTGGTCATTAATTCTGCTGCATTAATTCTGAAAGGGTAGCCTTTCAGTGGGAATTTTATATGGACACTCTTATGTGCAAAACACAAAGTATTTAACAATGCACTCAGAGGGCTGGGCAGAGTGCCTCACGCCTGTAATCCTAGCATTCTGGAGGTCCACATGAGCTCAGGAGTTCAAGAGCAGCCTGTGCAAGAGCAAGACCAAGACTCTTGTCTCTAAAAATAGCCAGGCATAGTGATGGGTGCCTGTAGTCCCAGCTACTCAGGAGGTTGAGGCAGGCAGATCACTTGAGCCCAAGAGACTGAGGTTGCTGTAAGTTATAACGCCATGGCACTCAACCCCAGGGAGACAGAGTAAAACTCCATCTCAAAAACAAAAACAAACAAAAAAATACACTCAGAATATTTATAGTAGCAAAAATTATGGAACTTCAAAAGATAAGATACATGGTTTAAGTCCTAACTATAGTTAAGAGCTATAATTCAGCTTACTAGAAAGCAAATGTGTAGTAAGAATAAATCCTCGTACCTACTAGCTATGTGACCTGGGACAAGTTACTTATCCTCTCTGAACCTCAATTTCCTCTTTCTATAAAATGGAAAAATAACAATTATAGGATAAGCAGGAAAATTAAATGCTAGAACACATCTAGCATTGTCCTGTACATAGCAGGTATATTTTTATTAATAAAATAAATAAATTTCAGCTGCCTTCTTTCTTTTCTTATAGGGATAGACTCCGTTTCTAGAGTTATTTAAGGAATATCAAAATATTCTCTTGATAGACATGGCTATATCAACATTTATGTGGATGAGTTTAGTAAAAGTCCTATGAAATATTCTCCACGTGTTGACCTCTCTGTGAAATTTTACAATAAAAGTTTTGTAAATAAAGGTATATTTTAGCTACCATTTCACAACTTCCCTAATGTATGGTGACTCACGGGACACCCTGTAGCAAGGCAGTAAGACAAAGATACAAATGCATCTGAAAGCAAAAGGACTCATGAACTAACGTGAAACAGACACACACACTCCATTTGGTACCTTAAATAGGTTACATCTGAGAAAAGCTTGGACTCTCAAGTTTGACCACACTCACCACTTCAAGTTATTATTCCTCTTCTTTCTAAATACACCTTAAACTTTTGTCATGGTCAAATGTAAACTATGGAGCTTTAGTCCCTATTTTTCTAGATTTTATAAAATATGTCCTCGCTCAAGGGTTCTAGACTTTAATAATATCCCACCCAATCTAAGAATCCAAGCACTAAAATGGAGTTAAGAATTGAGTAGAATAGGACTAAAGTTGATAAATAATTGCCTAAAATCAGTCTAGTTAACAAAATAGTAATAGCAGCTACCATTTATCGAGTGACAACCATGTGCCAGGCACTGTGCTAAATGCCATTACTTATCCTAATTTAATCCTCACAATAACTATACCCTCAAGGTATAGACAAAGCTAAGGTACATACCTTGCTCAAAGTCATTCTGTAACACACATGCTTTCTTTTCTAGGAAACATTTAGATCCTAGTATTCCCATAAGTAACTCCCAATTTGAGAGTTCCAATTACTGTAAAAACACACATAACCAAACTAAGCCAAACAAGGCAATGTTTCTCCACAGATATTCTATTATGTGATAAACTTGAAATAATAACATTTTGATTCATTGCATTTGCAAAACACCTGTCATCCAAGAAACAAAACATGATTCCTTAACACAGTTTCATTAATCTTTCCAATACCAGAGGTAAATAGATGGAAAGTTTAATCATCCTAATTTTACAGAAGGAGAAAGTCAAGTTGTTTAGGAAAGGTCTTGTCTTGACAGTGGGACTTGAATTCAGTAATTATGGCCTAGGAAAACCATGTGGATTAGTTCAGTTTAATAAACATTCATTCACCAAAAACAAAAAAAAAAAAAACAACTAATGCTTTGAGAGTAACAAAGTACCGATTTCATTCACTATGCCGATATCTGGCTATCAATTTGGTCTAGTAAAAACATACTGTGTGCCCTGCCAATTTCTTTGTGACTGAGTTTACTCAGTATTTCATTCATCATTGTCAGAGTGACTTGAGTTATCCAAAAATCACTTTTAAAAAACATTTTATAATTTAAATGTGAGGCAATTGTAACTTGGGAATGATATTTGAAGAGGGACACTGAGATATCCAAAGAAGAATAAAAGGATGAGGAGACTAGAATTAATGTCGTTATCAGTAAAGATGAATGAGTCGAGAGAATTTGATCCAGAGACAAGATTTAAAGGGTGTACAAGCATGTTCATTCATTCATTCATTTGTGACTGCCTATCACATATATGCTCAGCATTGTGCTAGGAACTAGGACTTTAATAATGAATGTGCTACTGTCACTGCCTCTGAAGAGTGCAGAGTCTAACACAATATGCTCACTGCTACAATAAAAGGAAGTGTGGGAGGATACAGAAATTCATAGAAAGGACACCTGATATAGACTGGGGAGGTGAGGAGCAATCAGGAACAATTTTCAGCAGAAGATAATTTGGTCCTCCAGGATGATCAAGGTTAGCCAGTTGAAGGTGAAGGTGGGGATGCGACGAGGAGGAACAGAAAAAAGGGAGCAGTGCATGTGCAGGCCCACAGGTGAGGGGAAAGTGATCCACTCAGGGCACCATCAGCAATTCTGGAATGTCAGGTGGGAAGGGGAAAGCGGCAAGCCAGCAAGCTGGAGTGGGCAGAGCACCCACATGTGAAAGCCCACTGCTCACCTGCTGTGGAGGCTGCACTTCATCCTTAATGGGTGAAGAGCAGTAAGAAGTTTTCGAGTAGGGAATGATGGCTCAGAACCGTGCATTAGCAAGATCACTCCAGCTGCAGCACGGAGGAGGGACTGAAATGGGGCAAGACTGGAGGGAAGAAGCTATCATGAGGGTGTGGCAGCGATGTGGGCAGCCTGACCTGCACAGCAAAACGTGCTGGAAAGCAAACAGCCTCAGAGCTACTCATTTGGTAGAACCTACAGCTGCAGGGATGTGGGGCTGAGGAAGGCCCAGGAGCAGTGACAGAGGCCTGGTAGGTGATCCGGAGTTAATGGGTGGATGTGTAAGAACTCACTAGGGCAGGAAAGATAGGAGAAACAGTAAGTTCAGAAGGACGATGACTGTACCTGGAAGAGGAAACGGCGCATTCTGAGGACTAAACTAAATTTTCACCAATAGGTGCTAAGGGTAACAAATCCCAGCTCACAATGAAGAGCTTTCTAAGATGTAGCTAAAGGAAAACAAAAGGGCTTCCTTGGAAGCATTCCTCCCACAGAGAAGCTCAAGAACAGTCTGGATGACTATTTGTCAAGGACCCTGGAATCAAGCACCAAAGGAGGGCAGGATTAGCTCAGTGTTTCTCCTACTCATTCTCCACACCACAAGCAGAGGATCTTTTAAAAACACAGAGAACTAGCATGGCACTCTCCTATAGAGAACCCTCGGTTCACCAGTGCACCGAGGGGAAAATGCAAAGCTACAGGGCCTCTCTGGCCTCACACAATCTGAGCCCAGCCTACCTCCTTATCTCCTATCACTCCTACTGTTCATCTTCCCACAGCCCTGCCCCACACAGGACCCCTGTCTGGGCTCCAACCAAATTAGCGGATTAACACCTTGAGCTCCTCTTCCACCTTGGGGGGCCTTCACCAACACGCCTCTATCTGTCTGGAGTGTCCTTCTCTGCACGTGACATGAGTAGGTCCTTCTAGTCTTCAGGTCTAGATGGAAACATTGCTCTCCCTAGAGAGCTGTCCTTAGGACCCACTCTAAATCTAAATCTATTCCTGTGCAGTGTTCACTCTTCTCACATCCTGCTTGTTCCCTTCATGACACTAACTATAAAGCATAATTATTTGTATACTCTTTTTATCTGTACACCTATCAGACGATGAGCTTCACAGGACACGGATCACACTACTTCTGTTGTGCAGGACAGTACCTAACGGACAGGAGGCTCTCAATAAACACCTGTTGATTAGTTATCAACCTGGGGCATAGAACATGGCCAACCTAGGGTGGCAGGTATCACGTGCAGGGCTTTTTCAAATTACATTCCTCTCATTACAGGAACCATTCCTGGAGCAACTATCATTACTATTTAGGAAGATGTCACATTCCTACGGGAAGTTGCCACAGACAAAAAAGGCTGAGCACCACAGGACCATCAGATGGTCTCTGAACTTCTGTCCAACCTAAGAACTTTGTAACACTCTGTGAATATATAATTTTTGTGTAAAAAAACTAATTCATGGGCGGTGCCTTGTGGCTCAAAGGAGTAAGGCACTGGCCCCATATGCTGGAGGTGGCGGGTTCAAACCCAGCCTCGGCCAAAAACTGCAAAAAAAAAACCCAACTAATTCACTCATGTTGTTAAAAACCAAATCTGGGAGAATTACCTCCTCTCTCTTGTCATCTTTTCAACTCAATTCTACTTTTAATACCATCATAAAATTTAGCCTAAAACACCAAGGAAAGTCCTTGTTCTTCCTCTGGGGTCACAGTCAGTCTGTATGGATCACACTTGTTCTGGAAATAGTGGTAATAATGAAATGCCCAACCTTCTTCAAAGTAAGTGTAGCGAGTGCTCCTCAGCCTGAGTGCCTCCATTCTACTGGGCCATGGCTCACATTGCAACATACATGGAGAGAAACATGGCAAAGTACCTCCCAGCAAGGCCACGCCCTTTGTTGAGAACATCTACCCCTCATGACCACAAGGAAGATGATCCACTGGTGAATAACTAGACTAACTTTATTTTAAGACAGAATAAAGTATTTAAAAAGGAAACATACTTTAAGAGATGTGTGTTCAGCTCGGCGCCTATAGCTCAACCAGCTAAGGCGCCAGCCACGTACACCTAAGGTGGTGGGTTCGAATCCCCAGCCCAGACCCGCCAAACAACAATGACGCCTGCAACCAAAAGATAGCCAGGCGTTGTGGCGGGCGCCTGTGGTCCCAGCTACTTGGGAGGCGGAGGCAGGAGACTCGCTTGAGCCCAGGAGTTGGAGGTTGCTGTGAACTGTAATGCCACGGCACTCTACCCAGGGGGACAGCTTGAGGTTCTGTCTCAAAAAAAAAAAAGAGATGTTCATAGCAGGGAAGTTGGCGGGTAATAACACTGACATCATAATAAAGCAATCGGGAAAGTGACTTTGGGGAAGAGCCATGAAGGAGACTTGTAAAGACAGTAAAGCCCCTGGGCCAAAAACCAATACTGTGGGTTAATAGGGCAGGCAGAGATACTGAACTACACCTCAGCCAATAAAGGGTATCACTTTATAAATACTAGCTAAAGCACTAAACCCAGAAATATATTGGCTGAAGCCCCAAATCCAGAAAAACCTCAACATAGAATGGAAGGTTTTCTAGCTCTGTGTTGGCTTTTCAGTTACCAGTGTGCATCGCACACATGGAACAATCTTATTCATAGTGTCACCTTCAAGGACAGTCTGATGTTTACTGGCTGAATAACTGAACATATAACCAAAATGTCCTAGAACTCTACCAGCTTAAGCAGATAGCTCCATCCACCCCAGCAATATGAGCATAAATTAATGAAACTTATCTTTCCTGTATAATAGCTCCAATACCCTGCACACCAAAGATACACTGGTCAATTTCAATTTCCCCACTTCACTTATGCTCTGTATCATTCTGGTGAAGATGCCAGTGGATGATGGCACTGTCAAAAGATGCAAAAAATAAAGCATTTTGCAATTGACAAAACAGACCATCAAAGGCAGGAAATAGTAAAACTCGAGGCATGAATTTTCTGTATAATCTGGAGATTGATGGAGAACCATTCCATAGATCAAAATTAATACTTCAACAACTCACAGGGAAAGGGGGCAAGATGGCTGAATAGAGGCAGCTTTCGCCAGAAGCTTCTGTTCAGGAAAAAAACTGGACTAAAGTGAACTTGGGAATGCTGAAATTGGGGGGGTTGAACGTAAGGATATTTTAACAACTCTAATTTCATCCTTCTATGCAAAGTCCTTTACTCTTTGATCAATATATAACTAGAGTTATCCGATCTAATTTCTTTTTAGCCACATACACTTTTTTTTTTTTTTGAGACAGAGCCTCAAGCTGTCCCGCTGGGTACAGTGCCGAGGCATCACAGCTCATAGTAATCTCCAACTCCTGGGCTCAAGAGAGTCTCCTGCCTCAGCCTCCCAAGTAGCTACGACCACAGGTGCCCGCCACAATGCCTGGCTATTTTTTGGTTGTAGCCGTCATTGTTGTTTGGCGGGCCCGGGCTGGATTCGAACCTACCACCTTAGGTGTATGTGGCTGGTGCCTTAGCCACTTGAGCCACAGGCGCCAAGCCCACATACACTTTTGATCCTATAAAAAAGAAATGTCATCAGACAAGCCTCTTCCTCACCATCCCACCTGCAACTCCACAGATTACTATGCCAGGCCCACACTTCACTTGCTTGTTCTCACCTATTGCTTGGAAGTGAATCTGAGACTGCTGGGCTGCTGTGTTGAGAGGGTCCGGCCCGGGTATTCACCTACAAGTAAAGAAAGAATCCTGATCAGTCTTGTGTTCTGAGGACACAGTTCTAATTAACCTATAATTTGCCACAAATTTCTCATTTCACCATGGAGGTTAATTAGCTTGTTGCTAGACAGACTGAAGACAGTTGAAGTCTATTCAGTATATAGGTTACAGAACCATACAACTTGTATATTACATAGTACCCTTTTCCTGTTATTGTTCAAATACTTAAATAGCAATGAAGAAGGGAAAGATAAACAAGGAAAAAATTAATTTCACTGTCTAGAATATATACAAAACAATATTGTCAATAAAAGTACATTAAGAATATAACCAAGGGGAAAAAATAATTTAAAAAAATAAATATTAAAAAAAGAATACAACCAAGGATTAGTAGTGAACCACAGATTATAATATCCTCCCAGCTCTACAACCAAGCAGAACATTCTTTTTTTGTTTGTTTTTCAAAGTAAAAACCATGTTAATCTTTATCTTAAACAACAATCAGCATAACCCATGACCCATAATAAGTAATAACCAGCATAATCCATGACCCCAAACAACATCCCAGTTCAAAAGTTGATCTCCTAAATCAATCCCCCTGAACTACTCAAGACAGTATCTTTGTGGTAGATGCTAAATTCAAGCAGAATATTCTATGTAGAATGTTTCTTATTCACTAAAAAATAAGGTCCAAATAATCAACTGTAAAATATTTGAGCCTAGTATAAAAGCCAGCATTTCTTTCAGATATGAAGCCCCCAGCAGAAATCCAGAATGCAAAATACAAAGAACAATAAAAAGACATTAATGAGATAGATGTTTCTAGCATAACTATGTCAAAAAGAAGAAGGGAATAGGCCAGGTACAATATGTTATGTGCTTAATCATGAATTGAAGTCTATTCTCTCACTCAAGTAAATCACTGCAGAAAGCAGTATTCATGATCATCCTGAAGAAACTGACCAAGAAAACAATCCCAAATAATTCTTAAAAGTACAGCATCAAAACCCCCATATCCAAATACATACACATATTGAGCAAATATCTCAGATGAATCCCCCCCACCTTCCATTAAAAAAAAAAAGGATCGCTTGTCAAAGCTAGACAAAGTGCAGTTTTATTTGACATTTCAATAAGTGGAACACAGCATTACAAATCCATCTAACTTTACTGAAACAATTATTGAAATTCGTACCTTCAGGCCATGTATGTTCCGTTCCCCAGGAGGCTTGCAGGCTGAAACAGTAATTGACTAAATTGTAGAACACATCAGGGCCATTTACAAATTTGCTCAAAATGAATCGTTTAAAAAGAAATGAGGGTGACACCAAAATTAGCAGAGAGAAATGATTGAAAAGTGGCTCCCAAGACCCAAAGTGGGAATTATGAACCAAGGTTTTAACTTGCAGGACTGAGCATTTATAAATGCAAAGAGCTTTCTGACACCACCTCATATAAATTCTAATTTCTGCTTAAAACATATAAAAATCAAGTTAACTGAGCTAAAATGATTACATTCCTTCCATAATTCAAATTTCTGCAATCTGTCCTTACTCTGTTACCCTGTGTATCTGCTATCACTCAAACTACATTGAAAATAGCTAGGGTTTTCTGAGGGGGCAATGGGATGGGTCAAGGATCTTTTAATGCCAAAAAAATAGCTATCATTCTAAGATAAAATATTGAAGTTTGAATACTAGTTTGCAAGTCACAAGCAATCAAATTTATTAAGATACAGATAAACTAATTTTATTACATCTTACAAACCTTGACATCTGCTAATATTTAGTTCTAATGATAAAGCAGTGCCAAGAAAAATACCAATTTCCTGACACCATCCTGAGTTATAGGTTAGTACTTTTCAAATTTAGCAAATGCTTCTTCATCAAATGTTAAAAATACAAAAGCCTCCCTAGTTCCATTTGAAAACTATAGAGCCCTACACATTGTATGCTAAGGAACTGTCAATTTTGATTGATTGTTTGGGGAAGAATGAATTTGATTTTTGTTCCTTTCTCAAACGTACATGTATTGTTCCTCTGTTTCTGACAAGAAACAGAGCTGTTTAATAATAAGATGATGTGGATAATAATTACAAAGTACATCAGTTGCTTTCATTTTGTCTATTTCAAATATATTCAAAATTATTTTTCTAGAAAATGTAAATAAACCTTAATAAAGGATTTTTAATTGTCTTTTAAAAAACATATTAAAATTAAGACACCGGGCCAGGCCTGCTAGTGCACGCCTATAATCTTAGCACTCTGAGAAGACGAGGCTTTTTGAATAAAATAACAGTCAACAGTACACTTGATGCCTGGTCCTAGAGAGACCATCAACACTTCCTACACTTTTAAAACATTTCCACCTGAAGTAACCAGTGTACTCACAAACGTCATTTGAAGAAAGTGGCTAACCAAGGAATCAGAAATAGACAGAAACTCTTATCTCTAACCTTAACATCTGCCTTACACCTCAACTGGCTTCTCAAATCTTTATAATTGGAAATCTAAATAGTACTAAAAAAAACTAATAACTTCATACTTCCTAAAGTTATGTAGTCAGAAGTTACCATAAAGCTAGTAAATTTTCCTATTTATTATTTTAAATATCTTTTAACAAGAGAGAGGGCTTAGCCATAGCTGGGAGTTATTATCCAAGGTAACTTTGCTACTCAGAATGAGGAAAACATATGTTATTAGGACTAAATCCTTTTCTCTCATCCTTCCTACTTGTTCATTCTAAAGATTCTTCTTAACATGGGGCTTAACCAAGAAATCCAAGGCCTAAGGGTCTCTAACTAGGTTGGCCCAGTTAATACACCAAACATGTCCCCAGTTGTATAAATTTGTATAATCTCATTTATCTTCATATGACACCTACATTCATGTAGATAGATAGCAAAAAGCCAAAGACTACAAAAAACTAGAAACAGTTGTACCACAGCATACAAAAAACCACAAAGATAGGAAGAGTGAGTCTTTCATATTCTGAAATTTTAAAATTTGGCTTGGAAAGACAGTATTTAGTAATTAATTGCCACCTGGTAGGTTTTGTGTTAGGACTATGTGTGACACTACCATCTCATAATATTTTCTTCCTTTAAGTATCCTCTCCCCATAATAAATTTCTTCTCCCTATCTCTAAACCAAGCCCTCTAAAACACCCCATGCATGTTTTACTAACATTTTAATTTACATGCCCTTCTACTTTAAGCAAACTATAAGTGAAATGAAATTCTTACACAAAGGAATATGTCAAGTTACTTAACCTCCCTGAACCTCAATATTCTCATCTAAGAAATGGAAGAGAATAGCCTAATGGCCAGAACCGCTGGGAGGATACAAAATGATGACATGTAAAGCAGTATTAGTGCCTGAACAGAGCAGATGCATACAAATGGTTGTTATTAGTCTGGGCATGGTGGCTCACACCTGTAATCCTAGCACTCTGAGAGGCCAAGGCAGGTGGATTGCCTGAGCTCATGCGTTCAAGACCAGCCTGAGCCAGAACATAATCCTATCTCTAAAAAAAAAAGCCAGGTGTTGTGGCGGGCACCTGTAGTCCCAGATACTCAGGAGGCTGAGGCAAGAGGATCACTTCAGCCCAAGAGTTGGAGGTTGCTGTGAGCTATGACACCACAGCACTCTATGAATGGGGACAAACTAAAACTCTGTCTCAAAAAAAAAAAAAAAAAAAAGATTTGAGAAGCCGGTTGAAGTGTAAGGCAGATGTTAAGGTTAGAGATAATAGTTTCTGTCTGTTTCTGATTCCTTGGTTGTTAACATCACAGAGTGGGCACAATGGTATGACCAGTCAGTATGCCATGGCCCCTCACAAAATGAAAGAAAAACAGAACTGGAAAAGATTTCAGATGAAGAGAAGTAAACATTTTATTGAAAGGGAAAATGAAGACCCACAACAGTGGGACTAGAATTCCCCAGGATATTGCACTAGGGTTTGCTACAATAAAACTATAATACTCTCAAGTAGAGAAGAAATTAATAGAAATTTTCAGCTTATAAAAAACTATTCCTTGTAGAAAAACAATTTTGAAACATGCCCAAATTCTCCAGTCATTGCAAACAGCAAAAATAAAATCTGCATCCTTGTTACTGGCCTAATACATGGGAATGATAACATTTCTTTTTCTTTTTTCCTTCTTTTTTCCCCCTCTTGTTTATATTTAGTCTTTAAGTACAATAGAATTGGAAAGATCATAATTCCTGTTTTGGATATTATTGGTCCTACGTTACCCCCATTCTATTTATTTAGCATTTAATAAGTCATTAATAATGTAATAAGCACTCCTAATTCTGCTGCCCACACTTATGCTGGAGGAGCAATATTGTTCTTGAACCCAGATCTTACAGAACTGGCCAAACCAGTGGCCTTTGGAGACTTTTATCAGTGCAAGTAGAAGCCTACTGGTTAATTGAGCCATTCAAACTTCAGAGTTATAGGTAATGAAAGTCTAGAATGTTTAATTGGAAACTCGATACCATGATTATTTGTACAGTATCAGTTAACGAAGGTAAGTTTAACTTTTAATTATTTCAATTAAGTTATTTCTAGAAGGGTTACTTAGAGAATTTCCTTATCTCTTCCATTAGTTAGAAAACATGGATTCCAAGTGGGGCAATGTATAACCGGTGAAAGACTTAATGGTTTATATAATTAACTGTTCTTTTTCACCATTATTCAAATTTTAAGGGAACAGGGAAAAAGAAAATTATCTAACCAGGTGATTCATCAAGACTCACTCTCATCAGCTCATATTTTTGAAGACTTAACAATAAAATTTCCATTTATGAGAATTTCTATTATTTAGAAAATACTTCCTCACATAACCAAGCACAGAACATTCTACCAAAATGTCTTTCCTAAAACCCCTCAGAAAATCTTAGCTTCTATACTATCTGAAAACTTTCTCCTCCATGGCTACCATTAGGAGCCACAAATTATAAATATCCAAAATTAAAGTCATTCATTTGCCTTGGTTTAGAAACCATGTGGACCCCCCAAAGAGTTCTTTAAGCTAATGTAAGTATATACTTCAAAAACAAAAAACAATCTAGTTAGTTTAATTTACTCTAGTAAATTAGATATTGTATCTGCCATAACTATAATATAGCTTGCAATCCCCACGATAATGAATACTTCTTTTGTTTTTTCAAATTAAGAGCTAAACATCATGTTATGTGCATTTAAACCTTTGGAAAACATAACTGTTGATGAAACAGTTTACTGAAATAATCATTGTTGATTAGAATTTGCTCAACATTACCTCTTGGAAATATCTGCAGTGGCTCTATTAACTGTCCATTTACTTGCTGCTCCATTACTGTGGAATAATACTGCAAAGAGATTACAGAAAGAGATTACTCAGTAATGTATGAATACTGGAACAGACACTTATGGGTTGTTTAATTCATAGTACTTTTGTAAATTGCTGGTATACACATATCAGCCTGGAGAATACTTTCCCCCTACTTGCACATCAAAATGACTATAGTGAATATTCAGCTACGAAAGTCTAGTATAGTGTTACCCTTCACACTGCCAATTATCTTTAAGAGTAAAAAGTGTTGATTAAGAATTTATATTCATTTTTAAGAGATATTTTTAAATGATAAGTATTTAAAATAACAGATAAAACATTTTAATAGAAATGTCTCAAATTGACCTCTTGTTCTTTTTCCCTGGATCTTGCAAAGCAAGTAAAGAAGCTTCACATCTGGCTTGGACCTACATGCCAGTTAATCGAGTATTATTCATATTTATATATAAAATGCACGAATAATAGAAATCTAAACCAGAGAGACTGAAACCAGCAATCAAGATATGACTCATCCAAAGATGACAGGAGTAATATGATTAAAAGTACAGTTTAAATTTCACTATAAAATTCACAAAAAATAAAGTTCTAAATGAAAAAGCTTTCACAGTCCTTCATAAACACAAATTACTCAGTAGGTTACACTGTGGTCTGATTCTCATGTTCCTTAATATAACTGGTTCCTTAATATACTAGCTGGTAAGTATATGCCCACCTAACTTGGAGATGGTTTTTACGCTCTTCTTACAATGTTTGACACAACAAACTGATGTTCTTGGTGGAAAAATACTGACAATGAAAAGTGCTAATTTTATGTTTTCAGGGGCTACCAAAGAGCAGAACTCCCTTTCACCCTTACTGTTTCTAGATTAAAAACACGTGTGCATTATTTTACCACCACATTTTTCAGGAAATTCCTCCTTGATTATTAAGATTTGCTGACATTATAAAAAAGTTTCTTTTTAGAAGATAACTATATATCTTCCCATTGCATTTATGTATGTTAAAATTATTATAAGACCAAGGCTTTTTTCCCTTAGAAATAAAGGAGAGCTATGAAATTCTACATCATCTTGGAAATCACAAGATAACAAGTAAGTCTTAAGGTTCTTTGCCCTAATAACAAATAAAGTGAAAGTGGATTTTTTTAATAGCTAAGTGTATACCCTGCTCTCCAAAAGCTTTCAAACTGTAAAGGAAAGTGATTTTCCCCTTTTCTGAACCTAAAACCACATATACATACAGCATAAACATATGCAACACAATCTCTGGAATACATAGTAAGGCAAACGTCTTTCAGGAAATTCTGTTCCTTAAAACCACAGAAATACAGCACTCGCCATTACTCAAACAGTGATGACAGGTAAATGAAATATCAATCATGTAGGCTGTCAACCTTTTGGGACAGCAATAACTGTTAACAAGTAGTCTGGAAAAATTGTCCGAAAATGACTTGTCCTCAGCACACAAGTATTTGAGGTTTCCATGGAAAATTAAGACGCCAGTGGCTATTTGGAACATTGCTCAGGTATTCTTTTTAATGGGAAATTTGCCGGTTATTGATCCACAGCATGTACCCCCTTGCTTCTGGAAGGCTGCAAGCAACTTTCCAATCAGTGGCTGTCAAAAAAATTACTGCCTTTTTGAACTGATACAAGACAACAGCAGTGGTGGTGTTCTCCTATAGTTAATGCTTTTCTTTAATTAACTGCTACATACAATAGGTTAGTAATTTCAGTTACTACTTCACCACAGTCCTAGAAATCAAGGCAAGTAAAATATCCTTATGCTTTATCTAACAAATTAATTATAGAGTTGTCTAAAACTGGTGCTTGGGGTCAAGTTTGAAAACAAATAACCTCAAATGTAAAGGGTCAGAACAGGTGCAATGCATTTTTTTCCCTACTATAAAACCTTGCATGCATGAAATTGACCTGTTTTCCAGTTTTATTTATTTACCTCCCAAAATAAATAAATAAAAACAGTTTCCCTTTCATTTTAGTTCTGTGCCAAATCGATGGGCAAACTGTATGTACAAGGTTTGACAATTAAGTTCACAAATTCATCCTAGAAAAAGTCACTACAGAATATCATTGCGATCACCTTCAAGATACTTCTCCTTGGCCATTTGTTGACCAAAGTAATATTCACCAATGAGGTATGTTGTACTTTTTCTAGAATGAGTTCATGAACTTAACTGTCAGACCTCGTACTTTATAATCATTGTGAGAATTTAAAAGCAATTTATAAACATCTCTTTATACTAAGATTAACACAGTCACTGTAATGATATTAAATATGCCATTTACTAGTCTCTAAAGCAATTAATTAGGTTTTGTTCTTTATTTTTGACATATCTTTCAAATCCAAGTATATTTATTTTCTCTTGCTGAAATATTGAGTTTAATCTGTGTTTCTATTAATGGGAAATCTGTGTTCCACATAGCAAAGTATTTCACCAGCACGGACATACTGTAAAGAGTGATAAACTCAACAGTGTGGGCCACATTACACAAGTGATCCCTAACGAACAGGCCCAGGAGGGCCAGGTGGCCACCACCACGGCACCAAGCGTAGAAGCTAAAGTTGCTGCCTATGCAGCATTCCCCATGGGACAAAGATAAGACTCAGGGCCATGCACAGCACCTCCTGGCACAACGTGGCCCTAAAGGCTACCAGGCCTGTGCTGTGCTATAAGACTAGCAAGGCACTTCGAGGAGTCAGAGTGCTAGACCTCAGCATCCCTCACTAGCCATCTCCTAGCACCTGACCTCAGTGAGGAAATGGTCACTGGGCCTCACTTTATTCATTTATAAAATGAAGATGGAATCCACCAGAGGACAGCTATGAAACTCACAAGAGAAAACAAAGAAGACAGCAATTAATAAACTGCAAACCAATTAGATTTTGATCTTCTATGTGCCTTTTTTAATATAGTCTTCTTTAAAAGGGGTTATCTCCAATTTCCTTCTAAATAGTTATAGAATTAGTGATGATAAATACTTCTACTAGATAAAAACAAGTAAAACACAAAGAAACAAAAATCCTACCCCTATTACACCAAGACACTTACAGAGAAGTAACAAAGTGACCATCATAACATTAATGAAATCATTACTTGAAGTTATCCAAATATAACTTCTTTATTCTAACCTCTATAATACCAACCTAGCTTTTATTACCCCTAAAATAAAACTCTGCACACAGTTAGTGTCCCATAAATATTTATTGATTGAAATGGGGTTGAATTTTGATTCTGCCACTCGTTAACTTATACAGCCTTCAATCATGTAACCATTGTGAATATTAGTTTCCTTCAAATGCCAGTAAAAATGCCTGCTCTTCCATAGGGTTACTGTGAGGCTCAAAGATTAAACTACAGCCCTAGAATTAGTGAATGCACTTAGTAAACTGTAATGCATTATTAGTTGAGAAATTAAAAAGTGAACCTAATATTGAAACAATATTAAGCACTGCACTTTTTGTCTTAGAAGTGTTCTAGTATTTAGAATTGCAAAAATAATCAAGTCTGTGTAAAGAGTACAAAATATTGTGCTCAAACTGAATACATCAGCAGCAGTTACAGAATGTGTTCTCTGCTGCTATCCCATGCATAATCTGTTACATGCAGTAATTGCAGCAATAATCAATAAGCCGAGTAAAAGATTAATCAGTTTTGCAATTGCTAATGGAATTTCCAGTACCAGACTCAGATTAGTTTCAGAGTCCCTCTGAGATGTTCTTCAAAATCCTTAAACAATTTTAATAAGTATGTGACAAAATTTAGCATAGTTATCCAAAAATCTAATTAATGTGAAACAGAGGGCAGGATTCAACAAGGGGATAACAAGTACAATTTTTGGCTTTGTTTTGTTTGCAAGTTTATCAGTTTTCCTGTTTGTTATGAACCTAATTCTAATTCTAACAGCACAATTCAATCAATAATTAAACGTTTTTTTCTTCATGGAAATCTGCCATTATTAAAACATCACAGTTTAATTTTACAAAGCACAAGTTCTCTATTAAGAAAGCAAGAAAAGGGGACGGCGCCTGTGGCTCAAGGAGTAGGGTGCCAACCCCATATGCTAGAAGTGCTGGGTTCAAACCCAGCCCCGGCCAAAAAAAAAAAAAAAAAGAAAGAGAGAGAGAGAAAAGAGACAGAAAAAGAGATAAACAGCCATGACTCAGTGGGTACCTATGTATGCTCCTTTCATTCTAGTTCATGCATAAAATGTATGCTTACTGTTTAAGACCTAAAAGGTAGGTTATCTCACGCATCTCACATTTAACTAGGCTAGACCCAGTGATTCACACCTGCAATCCTAGCACCCTGGGAGGCCTAGGAATGTAGATTGCTTGAGCTCAGGAGTTAGAGACCAGCCTAAGCAAGAGGGAGAGCCATCTCTTAAGAAAGAAAGGAAGAAAGAGGAAGGAAGGAAGGAAAAAGTAGCTGGACACTGTGGCAGGTGCCTATAGTCCCAACTACTGGGATGTCTAAGGCAAGAGGATACTTAAACCCAGGAGTTTGAGGTTGCTATGAACTATAATACCAAGGTACTCTAGCCTGGGCAACACAGTGAAACTGTCTCAAAAAAAATTTTTTTAACTAAATTGTCTGGGTTACTGGATAGACTACTGAGCTGGTGGAAAGGCCTCACACCCTGTATGGGTCAGGCCATGTCTCCTGATCATTCAGAAACCGGGGAAGCAGGACAAAGACATCTGTGCTTGACGGGTGACCTGCGGCTCCCTCTTTGGCAACCCTTCTGGTTTTCCTATCTCTCCAACCACCCCACTCTGCTTTCAGTAAGCAGTTCCTTGCCCAACCTCCTTTAAGTATTGGAGCTCCCCATGGTTTTTCATTAACCTTCTCTTCTCGTTTTATACTCTCCTTAAGTTACTTTGGCCACTTCAAAGGTTTCAATTACAGGAGTCACTGAACTAATTAGGAGCTGATGAATCACAAATCTTTATTTCCACTCCAGATTTCTCTCCTAAGCTTCAGAATATATCCAATTC